TCACAACGATAGAGGTTTCGTATGAATGATCTGATCCATTGCGAAGGGAAGTCCGTTGTCAGCGTTTACTCTTATTGACAAATTTCCTTAAATTTATTCCAGCTTAATTAAACATCCCGTAATTGGCAACAGGAGAAGATTTTTTGCCTTCTTAAATGCGACAAAAGATGGCCACGAAAGCAAATGCAAATGTTTTTCACGTGGCGAGGGAAATGATATTTGGTTCGCCGTCACGGTGCCTTTGCGTTGCAGAATAAGTGACCTGACGCAATGCAATCACTTCTTTCTCTGACAACCACTATTCATGGCTGGCTTACATATTTTTCACTTACAGTTGTCGTCCATTGACAGAGGAAGGGTGAAAGAATTCTTCAATCACCGTGTTTTATTTGGTTTTTGTTAGTTTGGGAAAAAAAAAATGCCGGCTGTGACGGGTCGCATCGACGAGGAGAACGTGACTGAAGGCACAGGAAAATTACACTGCCCTCATATGCGAGAGAACACAGACCCCGACACACCACAGATAGAAGAAAAGAAAGAAAAAGAAATCAAAGAGCAGGCTACTCAATTGGACGAGACAGGTAAGAAATTAAATCGTTTTTATGCAGTATTAATGAAATCTCTTACTCTTTAACGTTGAATTTGCATAAAATTGTTTGTTTAGTTTTGTTGCAATGTATCATACCTTATGTCTTGTACAGTACCATGCCCAAACAACTGAGCTTGGAATTATTTCCTAAACACATTTGTAACGTTCTTGTATTGGAAATTTGAGGAGAAACCACTAGAAATTGTAATTGCAGGCACTTTCTTGTAATCACAGTAGTTGATTTGTGTAACCCCTAACAATTTGGTACCCCAGTGAAATGTCAAGTACGATGTGATTAAATATTCTGTTTTTGTTTGTCGATCAGTACGATTGTCTCCTACAAACTGCTGTTTGTGAAACGTCATCTGTACATAGAAGTGTGTTAAACAATTAATCAGTTGACTGTAAAACGTAATTATGACGTACTCTTGTTCTTTGGCTTAATAGGTGTTACTTTATTCTCCCAAGTCACCACAAGAGTACAAATTGAAATTCTGTGTCATGCTTTTTCTTAACACCCTCCTATTTTTTAGGAGAAGAAGTATGATAAAGGATCTTACAAAATGGCTTTTAGATTGTTATGCAATTAAATGTTTGAATTGTGGTCAAAGGTGAAAGCTCTTAAAATATACTTTAGACATTGCTCATCATGATTATCTCCACGTAAATTAGTGTAAAATGCATAGTTTCACTGAACGTATGAAGAAACTCCTACGTGCATGTAATGGAGATTAGTTATCTGATTTAATGACAGTATCAATGCTTACACTTGCAGGAACTAAAGATAATGTTATTCAGTCTGGAACAGTTAATTTGCATTTTTTGATTCCTGGGACTAGTGAACCCATTTCTGCCACAGTAAGTGTATTGTGTCTCTCTTTGCCTGTGGTTTTTCTGTGTGAGAGGTATCTTGTCTGTATTGATGATTGGAGAGTTCATTTAGAGACATCTGTGTAATTACTGAACTCAGTGCTATACCTGACCACAGCAACTTTACATAATTTTCAGTGTTAGTCTATACAGTTGGATGTGTATTAGCACCTCTCTACAGTGGCTAGGGTCTCTCTGGGGGGG